TTGCGCGAGGTGGATAGGATTTCGGTCCATGAGAAGTGTTGATGAGGAATAAGTGTCTCCCATGGTCTCATGGTTAGGCGCCAGCCGTTCCATGTCGAAATTGTGATGAAATTCGTCACAACCTTGCTCTAGTCCAAATGGTTGGTCTTGGATCCTCTCGAGAGCTTGGTGTCCGAATTGGGGTGCTTCAAATGGTTGATGAGGTTGATGTGGCTGCTGGTTATGAACTAGACTCGCCATGCTTGCTCAAACAATTCCCTTGAAATAATCAAAAACAAAGAAAAACAAAAATTTAATTAGCAAAATAATAGAAAAAACGTTTTAGACTAGATTTTAGTCCAAAGCTTGTAGACAAAATATCAAGGGTCTCCGGCAGCGGCACCAAAAACTTGATGTGGGTCGATAAGGCATCGTGCCGCGTCACAATAGGCTTAGGGCCATGCCATGGTAGGCTTCGTGCCGCATCTTGGTGAATCCTGGTGCAGTGTCTCGACATGGCATCGATACGGAGATCGATGGCACCTCGAGAGAGCCATGACAGAGCCTCGATAGCTTATCGACAACCACATCGATAGCTTCTGGATATGGTCTGTGAGGGCGCATTAGTGGGAGCTTCGTGCCGCGTCTCAATAGAGAGATCATGCCGTGCCACGATGGCCTGATGTTAGGCCAAGATATGTTGTACCGTAGATTTATAGGACCTTGGTATTAAGACCAAGGCAGCCTTGATCCTTGTTAACACAGGACCGTATTGGCAAGTTGGACTTGGCCGACGGTGCAGTGACAGAGCATTCGGTTGGATCGAAGTGGATCCGGCTATGGACTCAAAGGTGAAGTTGGTGGGGACCGTGGTAGGACCGATAGATCACAACAGAGAACTCAGTTAGCATCACGATGGGCTATTAGTTAGGATACACGTGCTAAGGGTATTCCGGGCGTGGGATTCGACCATAGTCTCGAGAAAACTTGACTTGGCCTCGACCAAGGCCAACAGTGACTCGTTGTTTGGTGAGATTGCGAATGAGCTCCGTAGAGGGTTTATGCCCCAACTGACATTGCATACTGTTATGATTGTTTAGATGTATGGATGAAGAAGTTTACTCATGAATCCGAATTAAGTCTTGCATTGGCTTAGCTATACCCTACCTAGAGAGCTACCATGGGCCAATTGGGATGTTAGTCCAGGATCCTGAAAGGTAGAAAGACTTACCAACCGTAAGTCGTGAAAATAGAGTTATGGTAGAACTACCGCTCCACAGGAAGTAATTCTACCCGATGGTTCGCTTGTTTGTTAAGATCCGTGAGTCTGATAGAGATTGTTGTGAACCAGGCAAGAAAGCTATTAGGATAATCAGAATGGTTATACTAGTGCTACCTTAGCTAACCCGACACAAAGTCGTAGGTAAGGTCTAGTACGAGTAGAATCAGAAAGGTTTGAGGAACTTGGCCTAGATGGCATACGATCAAAGGGATAGAGGATAGACATGACATCGTTTGGATGTCCACGATCCAAGTTGGTATCGTGAGCTATCCACAATTAACGGATAGTCTTATGTTTGTATTTCTGCAGGGACGGTTACTGTATGGCCTTAGATGTGTCAAGGGTAACGTATTGGGATAGCAATGCTTACCTGGGCTGACCATATGGGGCAAAGGTATTGTTTGAAATGTTTCGACTATTGCTTGAAAACATAGAGTAACAGATTAGGTTTAAAATGAAGTAGATGTTGATTGTGATTCTTAGTTGAGTCTAGAGTAGAGAGGCATACAAATTGATAGGATAGTTGGTTAACAATTCCACCATAAATTATTGTATAGGGCGACTGTATGGGCACTCGCCACCGACTTGTTTGTTTTTGGCCTGAAAAAGTGGCAAGAAGACCTAGCTGCACATAGTTGCCGCTGGAAGGGCTCAGGGAGTAAAAGAGAGGTGAAAGTTGGCCGACGGGTTAGCTACTATATGTGTGGTACTCTAAATGAGTCAAGTGGACACCTCTGTACTTTATTGGAGTGTGTATGTGGTGTGAAAGTACTATGAATGTGTCAGGTGGACACCTTTGTACTACATTATGGGGTGCTAGCTAGGAGGTAGCCAGTGGGCTTGCCTAGTTACCATTGTGTGGTGTGGCACGTGGTGCTAAGGCATCATCTGGTGGTAATAGTTTTCAAGGGTAGTTAGGTTAATGTTGAATGAAATGACGATTGATATTGCTGGACGGATGGATGTTTCTGGAACGAAACAGATT